CAAGATCAAATCTGGGTCTTTGGACTCCAAATGCAGAGTTCTTCTGATTGTACCATGTAACCTGACACAATAGTTTATAGGAAAAAATATATTATTCCTAATTAAGGTATGCTTTTTGTGTTAAAATCCAGGGCACAAATATAATAATTACCAATTCATTCCTATGTAGCAGGAACTATACTAGACACGCATAAGTAATATAACTAAATCATTTTCTTATTTACCTCCATTTTACAGATAAGGACGCTGAGGTTTGAAGAGTTTCTAATAGTTTATTTCTTGTTACATAGATGGTAAGTGATAGAGCCACAGTTCAAATCTACTTTTCAAAATCTGAGCTCTTTTCACTTTCATTATTGCCTCTGTTGGGCGCTTTTGTGTTAAGGTACAAACATTGCAACTGAAGCTGGTACAAAATATAAGAATGATTTAATGGGGGAGAGGATTGAGAAGGGGGAAGTTTGACTTCAAATGTCAGTGAAAGCCTGGTGATTCCCTGGTTCTATCAACTCCAGCTTGTTGGGCTAAGATCTCTCTGACTGGCTTCACTTGGGCCACAGGCACCCTCTTTCTCCCCCAGTAAGAGCAAAGGTAAAACCAAGTCATTTGCTGTACAAACGCCCCATTCCCTGGGGTTCTGATCAGACCAATTCCTCAGTGGTCCATAGACTGAAGATGAAATTCACCTTCAAAGCCCCATGCTGTCTGATAATGAAGAAAAGGGGTGTTTCCTCTGGAAAGGAAAATAGATGTCTGTTACAAAAAGAAGGGGGAAATGTGTTTCATAGACAACCAAGGAATTGACCACCTCCATATTCGCTTTATATTTATTTAAGTGATAAGGTCAAAGATATGAGATGGCAGCATAAACTTTGGTGGTGGTGTCCTTGATGGTATTCTGTAAGGTGATAGGAGAAGAATTACTAAAAGTGCATTACGCACACTGCATCTTAGGATACTTGTCTGCACATTTTGTTGTTATTCAATGAATAGGTACCAGTCTATCAAGGCAGGAACTTCCCAAAAGGTATAGGAGATTTTCCTGGTGACTGAATCTGCACTTTTCAGGGAGAAAGTAAATTCTGATCTTTATAATCCAGTTCAAAATCCTTCCTGTCTAGCTCCAGCGTCAGTATCTCAGACATCCTTCCTTTTCTCTTTAATAGTAACACTCACCACCACATGTTGCAATGACCATTCACATGTCTAGCTCCTTTATTAGTCTCCTTAGGGAAGGATCATTTTTACTCATCTTTGACCCCCAGCCTGTAGCAGCATCTCACCCTGAGGAAGAGAATGACTGTAGCCCAAAAAACAGTACTAGATATGCAGAGAGGTCTTGGTTTGAACCTGTGGAACATGGTCCAGGTCAGTTAGCTACGCCCCTTCAACAAAATTGTCAAGTTAGCATCAGCCTTATAGGATTATCCAAGAAGTATGTTATAAATTGTAAAATGATTAAAGGGTTATCTCTTTCTCTTTTTCATTGATTCTAGGATTCACATTTCCAAATTTAAGCATTTCTGAAACTGAAATCTATCTACAATCCATAGTTTTTTGGGGGTGTTTTTTTAGTTTGAGTCTCACTCTGTCGCCCAGACTGGAGTGCAGTGGCCACTTTCGGCCACTGCAGCCTGGACCTGCTGGGCTCCAGCCATTCTTCTGCCTCAGCCTTCCAAGGAGCTGGAACTACAGGCGCGCGCTACCACGCCTGGCTAATTTTTTGATTTATTGTAGAGATGAGGGCTCACCGAGTGGCCCAGGCAGGTCTCGAACCCGCAGGCTCAGGCAATCCACTCACCTCAGCCTCCCAAGGCGCGGGATTACAGGCTGAGCCCGGCTTTACAATCCATAGTTTTAATTGGCAGTGAGTTTTTTTCTGTCTCGGTAGTACATAAAATAGTGGTGCATTGTTCAATCAAAGGAGTCTGATATTTAATGAAATGTGCTATAGATATCCATGCAGTATTCTGCCTCTGACAAATGCCCCCAAACCATGTAAGACTCAACTATCTTATTTTTCAATCTCAAAAGATTCTCTTTATAGCCCTCATAGCGTCCCGGATGGCTCTAATTGGTTTCTATCCATCTTACATGGATAAAAGTGTAAAACTTAATTTTAAGTGTAGCCAAACCTTTAAAAAAATTATTTGTATTTTGATTTCCACATATACTGGTTAGATTTTGGCATAGTACTTAATCTTGTCTTTTCTTTCCATTGCCATCTTCTCCTACATCCCTCACACACTTTAAGTAATGGGAAGAACTCTGAAGTGTTTTGGAAATAATAATTTCAGTTCTAGTCCTGTTTTGTCCCTAATTAGTTACATGTCTTATCTCTCTGCCATATGCAATATAGGTGTGCTAGCATTTTCCTTGTGGTTATGCAGGATCACCTGAGATCATGTGTGTGAATGTCCTTTAATACTACTGTATTCTGGAATCCAATTCATAGATACGCCTCAGCCGGGCTGGGTGGCTCAGCCTGTAATCCCAGCACTTTGGGAGGCTGAGGTGAGTGACTTGCCTGAGCCCGTGGGTTCGAGACCCACCTGGGTAATTTGGCGAGACCTCATCTCTACAATAAATCAAAAAATCAGCCAGGTGTGGTAGCGCACGCCTGTAGTTCCGGCTACTTGGAAGGCTGAGGCGGAAGGATCGCCGGAGCCCAGCAGGTCAAGGCTGCAGTGGCCGGGAGCGTGCCACTGCACTCCAGTCTGGGTGACAGAGTGAGACTCCAACTCAAAAAAAAAAAAAAAAAAAAAAATAGATACGTCTCCATTTTCCTCCACCATTTTTACCAATCTTGAACAGCTTCCAAAGTCAACATTTCAGCAGAAAGAGTGTCTTTTAAGGTGCAATTTGCTACTTCCTATATTCATCCAGATGATCACTGGGATGATTTCTGTTCTCCAAACATCTACAAGACATGGAAAAACAAAGCGACTAGTTGTTACATTTGACTGCATTCAGTTTCCAGTAAGAATGTGAACTCCATTGCTTTAAATGTCAGGGTCCCCCGACTTTGTCTGTCCTGCAGAAACTGCTTCCTTTGCTAGAGCCTGCTATGGGAGGCTTATCTTGATGCTTTCAAGACAGTACATGCCTTAACTTGAGACTATGACTTTCTTTTAATGTTACTTACCAGAAACAAGCTCCTTTTTATGTTTGCCATTAAAGTAGTAATCATTTATTTGTGGTTTTCTTCCATTTTTTTTTAAATAAAAAAAAATCCTTGTGCTTTTCCCTACTTTTGCACACTCTCAAAACTGTGCTTATCTTTTACCTGGTTTAGGTTTAAAGTATGGGGTGTGAGTGGTTCAGACATTAGGACATTAATAGATATTTAACTTCCTATTTGTGCTTATTCTATAGGCATCTCATGGCAATCTGAAAAGGGTTAGTATTTTGTTTGATATGAGGGTACTGAGGCAATTTGTCAGAGGTCATAGAATCAGAACTGGACTCAAGTTCTGTCTAATTCCAAAGCTTAAGCCTCCTTCGCACAGACCCCTAATTTTTTATTTTCCATTTTTGGCTGTGATTTTGTCTGGGTATAAGAAAAAGGGGAAGGTGGTTAAAAAAAAGTAGTTGAGCAGGTACTTGGCATTATACTTTTAATTCTCTTAAACCAGACCTCATCTTCTCTTTTCTGTTATCATTTCATTTCATGTTTTATTCCTGACAGTGAACTTGTCAGTGGATCATTTTCCTTTACATCGTTCTGGAACTATTCCAGATTCTTATGGCATTGCAAAATAAGTACCTGCCTAAAGGCATTCTGTAAAGCAGACAGCCTTAGAAAAGATGTACGGGATAAGTTACACGAATGGGTGAGTTCAAAACTGCTAATAAAACTGATAATGCAGGAAAAGGCAGAGGGTATAATTTGTTGGCAGAGTTATTTAGTTCCAACTACCAAGACTAAAGACATATTAAAAAGAAGCGCATGTTATTTATTTAAACTACAAAAGTAAGATAGACTTACCTAAAGAGGGAAAAAATTTTCCAATGCTAAGAGTTTATTTGTATAAGCTCACAAAGAAAGAATTTCTTTTTGACTTTAGAGTGTGTTTTCCTTGGATGATGAAATAAGATTATATTCTTCATTGGTCAGGTTTTATCTGTTGTTAGAGTTTATAAGACACAATTCTTATAATGCTTTAAATCTTTTTCATTTCACAATATGGTTTTTTATGTTTGATTATTGTATTGCTTTACTACTTTTGTAGTAAAGTTTTCTCATTTTTCCTTCATTACTTTTCCCTCTGATGAATAAAGAAAATCTTTCTACAAGAAGAGAAAGTCCGAAATTAATTTGATTTCTTAGGTTCACAGATACAGGAAAGTTGTATTCTGGCCTTTGCACAAAATTATATTAGATTAAGTGATTCAAGAACATCAAATAAAATAAAACTTCCAGGATAAATTCTGATGAACAAAAAAATAGTAAGGTGCAGAAAATGTAATACATTAGGAGAGAATAAATGCTTATGAAAAGTTCGGCTTCATTAAAGTGGAGGTTATTTCTAAAATATTGGTAAGCAGGGATTCTTTTGGGAAATCGGCTTTAACTGAAAGCAGAGCACCGTTCATATTATGTTTAGTCTTCCCATCACATTCATTAATTGCTTCTTAAGTGAGGCAAAATGGCATTTTTCGAGGGCAGAAAATATCACATTATAAAATGCAGCAGAAAGAAAGGATGCTTCTTCGGTCTTATCTCCTCTCTTCTCGGTGAACCGCGGGGACTCAGGGTTGTTGAGCGGGTGTCCTGGAAAACACACACACACACACACACACACACACACACACACACACACACACACACACACACACACACACACAACTGGCTGACTGTCCCGGGGAAAAGCAGCGGGACCAGAGCGCAGTGTATCCGGGCTGTCGCAGGCGAAGGCAGCGTGGCCCGCGCACAGGGTGTGGGGGACACCCCTTTGGGGCACATCGAGCGCTCTTGGTCTCAAGGCTTCAGAGTGAAAATGCCCCTCGCTAATGTGTCCCCAGACGTTAGGAAGCACGGTTTGGAGCCAGGAAACGAGGCCTCCCTGACCGGGTTCCTGGCTGGGCCTCCAGAGCACCTGCTTTCCACCCCACCCCGCCCACCCCCGCCCCTCCCGGAGGTCCCCCGGGCTGGCCGCGGGGAGGGGGTGGCGCCCGGAGCGCCCACTGCCAGCGCGTCCCGGGGAAGGCTGCGGCGCGCTCCCCACCTGGGCAGGGGCACCCGCCCGGGCCCCGACGGGCGCGCCGCCAAGGGAGGGTGTGGGAAAAGAGTTTCACTAGCATTCCCATTCATTCATATAATAGATAATGTTCTCGTGCTTTTATGTATTTCTGCCTAATTTGGGTGTTTATCGCTTCCCTCACTCACCCTGCATGTACGTGTTTAAAAACTATTTGGCCAGACGTAAGAGTTTTCCAT